ATCATTTTCCCCTGAAGAAGCTGATAACTTGTTAAAAACTTTTCTAGCCATGGGTGTTAAACCTAAAGCTTCCAGTAAAGAAGACCTTGAGAAATGGATGAAAGATTATTTTACAACAAAGGAAGAACTTCATCCCTTACAAGAACATCTAATAGCGTTAAGACGAGATAAACCAAGTGAAGACATTAAGATGCTACCAGCTTTACCCAAGGTGTCATTTTTCTCTGGGGATCCAGCATCCAAGTCTGAAGTTTCTTTTAACGTTTGAAGTTGGGGTTTAGATGGAGCGGATGTAGGAATGATAGAAATTGTAATATTAAGCAGCCATTTTATTTAAATAGATAGAAAATAACATGTAAAGATCATTAGTTTTTCATATATACATATTATATAGTAGATTATATGGTACCGTTTTGAAAGTATATTGTATATATTATCAGAATAATGTTATTTTCCAGAATATAGTTATCTGAAGATTTTGTTTACCATCTTGCTAGTCTTCTTTAAAAACACCTTCTTTGGGTATGTGATCAGTTACTTATACGTGTATATTACATTTAGTATAAATATCACCCACGGTTCGGGGCTATTCTTGGTTCGAATATGCACCCCGGTGATACATATGTAATAATTCATACATATGGATGAGCTAGGATTGGGGTTGTATAGCTCATTCGTGGAGAAGTATTCTAGAGTGAAGGTGGTCACTGTGCATTATAACTCCAATTCCAAATCCATTTCAATATTACTTTATATACAGTTTAAAAATACATTATTTACAAGATCATATCAAAGGGTTTGTCTTAAGCCTATCTCATCTGATGTCCCTTTATATTTTTCATTGTCCACTGTCTGTGTAGGGGTCTTTTAAACAAACTAATTTGCATACAGACAAAAAAAACAATCATTTCAACAAATCAGATTAAAATAAAATTAGGGATAAAAATATTTTAACGAATCAAATGAAAGAAGTTAAATTAATATATAAATTTCATTGGGTAAAAGTTTTACAATAACATATAGAATTAGTTAATAAGCTTTAGGCTGTAAATAAAATTAAAAGCGTTGACACTTGATTGGCACTGATCTGACTGCATTGTTAAATGTATAAATCTTTATTTCGAGCTTTCTACTAATAAGCCTATTGGCACCTCAAAGATTATAATAATACAGTCAAGACTATTCTTGCTTAGGGCAATCACCTTTAAGGGGTTTAAATCAAAATATTAAAATCTAAATCAATGAATAGTATAAAGTCAGCCATATTGATGAATATAGAAGTAAGAATTAAATTATGCATTATTTAAAAAAGAAATTTATATCACTATTCGGTGATATAAACTCAAGGCATATTTAATATATTTAATTTAGTTAGTGATGTATTTTTAGTGTTTAAATTATTGACATATTTCATTATTAAGTATGCATGCCTTACTATTATGTTATTTTATATTACTCAACTGTGATATATATGTATATTAATTTTGATGTATATATTTTCAGGGTTTTTAATAAAGGTTTAAAAACTAAACGCCTTAGTTTTATTGAGAATTTACACCCCCCAGTTACAATATTGCTATCAATCTGTTGGGTTGATAATTATTCAACAAATATGGATAATTTGGAAGATGGTTTTATACCATCTAACGATTGATTATGATACTCTCGATCTTAATAATTTTGATTTTGATGGCGACCTTAACCATCAGTTGTCCAATGGAAACATAGCTGTCGTCAGCAAGGTTTCTATAGGTTTCCCCGGAAGTAGTATTGCCCAAAAGAATGTAAACAAACTCTGGCGAATACCAGGAAACGCAAGGAAGGTACTATTACATTTATTAAAACGTCCAAAAGTTGCAAACTTGAGGGTGATTTAATTACAATGATTGATCCAACTGCTGTCGAGTCGTGTGAGAGGATCGCACCCAGAATAACAATTAAAAAAGCTGCAAATACTGTCAAAGCTGCCCAGTGAAATACTAACCTAACTAAGTCTAAGCAATCTGACAGTAGTAGTTGTTATAATAATGTCTTGGGCTCTGCTTTTAAGATAAATAATCTTTGGCCTGCCCAAAGTGTTACTCTCACAAGCAATACAAACCAGCATAATGATATACCGGTACCTATTACTAATAATAGTTTTGGTTATAATTATAATGCACTTAATAATAATAATAAAAATGTTATTGACAGGACTGAATTTGATCAAATAAAAGAAATTGTTTCAATGGCATTTAGTAATTGAACTAGACTAAACAGATCACAATTCTATGGAATACAATTACTGCTTATTACTGAGCGACGTTTCGAGTAGGCTTCTCTAGTCATTATCAAGCAATGATAAAATATGAAAATAGAACAAGACAATATATACATGTACACTACAATACTGGGTTAATGCTGAACAATCAGAAATACCTTTTAATTATATGTACCCATAGAAGACCTAACTTAGTTAGGGATTATAAAAGTTTAATGCTAGTAACAACATTCAATAGGCATGTTAGACCACTTTAGCTGGAATTAACACAAATTAATTAATGGATAACTTGTTGTGGAGTATATACAATGATTTGATCAGGTTTTAATAATCACAAACCCTGAAAGAAAATGAATTGATTATGATACCAGCAACCACTTTACCTGAAATTAGGCAATAGAGACTTCAATCTGATTGGTCGAGACTTTGGAACACAAATTGGTGTAGGTGTCTATTACGTGATAAGCAATTTGGAACACGATAACTTTGGTTCTGATTGGGTGAGAGCGAGTATAGATTGAGTATAGATTCATGTGTCATGTATTTTATTTTTTGATTCGGCGGGGAAATCACTTGTATTTACTAACAAATTTTAGATCTATTTAGCCATGAAGACTATGCTGTTTATTACAATTTGAACTTTTAATACATTAAATTTGATATTTAATTTAATTAAGATTGAACTTTCAATACATTAGATTTAATATTCAATTTAATTAAGATTATTTACATATGACAGTGGGGATCATGTGGCTTAGTGGGTAAGAGCTGGCTCTCTAGCCTGGAGGTCGGGTGTTCGATCCCTGCATTGGCCAAGAAAGTTCATCAGATTTTCCGGCGTGGTTTCCCCTTGTCAGTGATGCAGGACAGAGGGCCTGACAAGGACAGCTGTCTTGTCATTCGGATGGGACGAAAAACTGAGGTCCCGTGTACATATTGGCGTGCACGTAAAAGATCCCTTGGCAGTTAGAATTCGATATAAGAGTAGGCCGTAGCGCAGCTGCCCGGGCAAACTTCTTTTTCTTATTCAAGCGTATGCATTCTTGAAAATGAATGTTACAATTCAAGAATATTAATTGTCCCCCTCCTTTCGAAGAAAGCAGGGGACTATTAAAATGGGTTCGTCTGTCTGTCCGTCACACTTTTTGGGACACAATAACTCTCCTTCTAATTGAGCTAGAATGTTCAAACTTGGTGTAGGTGTTTATTAAGTCAGTGCCTTGATGGAGTTCGAAGATGAGCATTTTTTGATTAGGGTAAGCAGAGATAAGCAATTTGATTGGTTGATGCTTTGGGACACGATAACTTTAGTTCTAATTAAATGAGAGTGATGAAACTTGGTGTATAGTTTCATTACATCAATACCTTGACTAAGTTCAATAAAGAGTATTTTCTTCCCAGGGTAAGCAGAGCGATAAGCAATTTGATTGGTCGTGACTTTGGAACACAATATAACTCTTTCTAACTGAGGTAGAATGTTCAAACTTGGTGTAGGCATTCATTAGGTGAACGCCTTGATGGAGTTCGATGATAAACATTGTCTGCTTACTGTAAGCAGAGCTAAGCAATCTGATTGGTTGATGCTTTGGTTATAATTAAGCGAGAGGGATGAAACTTTGAGTATAGATTCATTACATCATTACCTTGACTAAGTTCGATGGTGTGAATTTTCTGCTTAGGCTAAGGAACGATAAGCAATTTGATTGGTCAAGACTTTTGAACGTAACAACCCTGCTTTTAATTGAGGTAGAATGTTTACAGTTTATGTAGATGTTCATTAGGTGAATTTCTTGACTGACTTAGTCAATGATTAACATTGTGAGCTAAAGCTAAGCTGACCTAAGCAATTTCATTGGTTGATGCTTTGGGACAAGATAACTTTGATTCTATCTGATCGAGAGTGATGAAACTTAGTGTATAATTGATAATTCAGTTTGATTGCTTGATACTTTTGAAAAAAATAAATGTGCGATTAATTAGTATGTGTCATCTATTTATTTTGGGATTTCGGCGGGGGACTTCAGCCTCACTGTTGGCTTGTTAAAATTTATTTCAATCACAAAATCAATGATTCCTTTGAAAAATCAAAGTATCGATAAAAACTATTCGTCGAGAAAAATAGAAATTGAACAAAAGCAGGGATAATTCTAAAAGTACCGGTCGGTGTGAAAATTGGGTGAGAAGTCACATGATGTAAACAAAGCTACATGACCATGTGGAATGAACACTGAGGAGTTTATAACAGTATTTATTCATCCTTAAACAAAGATTCACAATGCGATAATCTTTATGAACTGCTGGGTTGACATAGCTGCTGTGGCCATGATTCATTCTAAATTAACTTTGAATTTACTTATTTTATATGATAACTTGAGAATCCATAATGATGAGTCTATGGAGTTGCCATAAACGGTAATATATTGAATAATTTGAAATTGATGTAATGTGTTTATGAAATAGACTGGTTTGAAGTACGTACCACTTTTATATGGTCATTTTACAAATGTTATTTACAACCACTCAGACACTGGATAATAATTTTTAGAGATATAATTTAATAATACCACTTGACAAAGTGACAAAATACAAGAACTTTTTTCTATATCAGTGTTTTGGGAAGGATTGTCTGAGAATCTGAATACCACTGGTAGTTTTTTTTTGTATGGCCTTGTACGTAAATGACATTGTATGAGAAGCTAGAAAGTAGATATATAATGTAATATGCTATTATTTATTTAAGGAAACTATATATACAACTAGCTGAGTTAAAAGTTGAAGACCAGCAAAAACAATCATCTGATACAGAGAGTATTATATCTGTAGATTTAACTTTACAACATGAAAATAATCTCATGAAAGCTAAGAAAGAAGTTGCAGACGACCATAATACACGATTACGTCATCAATTAGACAGAGTTCAAAAAGTTCTGAAGGTAAATTTACATGATACTGTTTCTATTATTAAGTACCAGTACATTATAACCGTCTAGAAACCCAGAAGAGAAACTTGTGGAAAAGACAAAAACACTCACTGAGAAGTAGTAATAGGGTTATTTGTACATTTAGGGTATAGATATCTACCGATTTTGGTAAATTTGTATGAATATCGGTAAAATTCTAATTATCAAAACAAATCTAATACGAAGAGGCTAAAATCTGTAGATACGGTGTGTTAATTAACAGGGGTGAGAAATTGACTGAAAGGTGAATTCATTATCGCTAGGGGTGAAAATCTCTGCGACGGTGTAATTTTCTGTTCTGGGTAGTTGGTGTGTTAATTAACGAACAGGTTAAAAACGACTGACAGGGTGTGTATTCTTTGTTTGGTGAGTTTTCTCGATAGCGTGTTATAACTGCACCAAAAGTGTCTTATCAAGGACTAGCAGGCTTAATCTGATGCGTAGATGTCAAATCTAAATTTACCATGTGATTTCTTATTCGACCGTGTGTTTTACGCAGATCGGTCTTTGTTAAGGGTACGTCTTTATACATGGATTTATATGTGCTGTAGTTACATATGTGCCTTCTTTAATCTTGCATATTTCATTTATTAATGAATACTACATGTTTTATACTGCGTACCATTGTCTGGCTGCAGTTATTTATATTTCTTGTCTTTTTGTGGGTTTCATTTGTTAACATTATCGTGGTACCACACTGAACTATAACTATAAATGCATGTCTTAAAATCAATCGCACGCAATATCGTTATTTACCGATATCCCACCAAACCTCCATTTGATTATCCGATATATCAGATGCTCTAATCTCTTTTGAAAGCACAATTATAAACAAAAAATCTCACAATTAATGATAACCTGTAAGTTTCGTCGCCGTTATATTTTATAAATGTATTTCTTACCTGGGCGGTAAATAGGGCTATTCAAGAAAACAAAATTATATCACTATATAACAATAGATAAATCACATACCAAATAACACTAATCATGTCTAATAATACAGACTTGCGTCTGCTTCCAACACATGGAGCTGATCGTCAAACATCTTCTGGTATTCTCTGATTCCATCACACTTTGTGTAATAATCTTGTCTTTGCATGCACAATACTGACCTATGGAAATATGGATTTTATAAGAACAGCTAAATTGAAACACATAACTTAATATTCCCATTGTTTACGATTGCATGAAATAGCTAATAAACCACGGGTACAGTGGATTCAGTCTCATCCTTATTATATAATTTATACTATCCGGAGAGCACGCTTTTCACACAAAATTTCTCTTTGATCTCAGACTGAAAGGCAACACTGTTCTCAAACAGAAAGGTGATACTGTTAGATAGTGCTCTAAATGGATTAGCTGAAATAGTTGGATGGAGTGTGACTATTTTTACCTGTTACAGTTTTATTCCAGGATGACATACTGTGGTCTATTCAGTGTTGGTCTTATTGCAATGAAATAAATGTATGTTTCACTTTTTTATCATCTCATTTAAATAAAGCTTGATATTTTATTAACATGCATACAATTTATTTTGTTTCTCATAGGAAATTTCGGTTGGTATCTCAAATGAAAAAAACAGCCCAAGCCATTATATATTCTTCAAAAAAGTAGGGGATATTGAAATGCAAATACCTATGCAGGTTGTGATATGATAAATAGTCATGGACACTTGACATGCTTTGAAAGTATGTTCACAGATGAAGAACTTATCGCCCCAACAGAACCACTGAGCTGCACATGCGACATGCAATAGCACCATACGCGTGGGAGGGGTTCATTGTCAAATTTGACACTTCAAGGAAGGGTTGATGAAAACTGACGCGTGCTGGTTTATCTATCCATGTTTGCTTTCCTATCGGTTCTTGCATAAGATTTACTGTTTAGCGTATCTTTGCTTTAGTGTGTTACGTTTAATTTGATCGGGAGACATGTTCGTGGCACTGCAAGAAGAGTGGGTCAGATTGCCCCAAATTGCAATTGGACGGTTGATTAGGAGCATACCACGACGAATTGCTGAATGTCTGAGGATTGGTGGAGCAATTACTCATTATTAAGAAAAAAATCAAAAACGTCCATTTTACTTTTGACGGTGTATCTCTTTGCGAGTGAAATATGAACTGTTTATGTTCATGTGTAGGATGTGTAGGCAATTGGCCTGTTATTAACATACACTGGTTACCTCTAATAAAAACAGCAGTGCATTTCCGCAGTTTTGTATTGTTTCTGAATATCCCCTATGTCCAAACAAATGTTCAAACAAACAAGTAAAATAGACAAGACAAAAATACAAGCAATACCATTATTTATTATTACGTTATTGATATGCATATGCCTTCATAATTAAATGTTTTAATTAAATTGTAACATATAAATTATTTGCTTTATTTATTTTTTCTTTAATTGGCAGTTGGTATGGGCTGAAGGCTTGAAGCATTCGCTTCAATACGTATTAACTCTGCTCCAATAATGAAATTTTGTGGAATATTAGGGTGATTCAAAAGAAACATAGTCAACAAGTGGAATTTAAGAGTGAGCTTGAAAAACGTGATGGCTGAAATGAAATGGAGAGATGCAAGGCTTTTCCCTGTGCTACTATGCCGATATTATCATGTCGTACTGAAGTCATAGGACAAAGTTATTTTTCTGCAGTATATTTCAAAGCAAAAAAAATGTTGTATTGGAAATATGTGAAAATTTGATGCCTTTGGTTGTTCTTCTTGAATTTGTTAAATTATTAAACGTATTTGCAAGTCACATATTACCACACAAACTGCCATCAGCTAGAGCAGGAAGTACGCTTTGCTGAACACCAACTTGGAACACCGTTGACCTAGATGTTATATAACCACTGCTAATTGCCAGACTTTATTAGGGGTAATAAAATTGATCATCACCACAGCTCAACAATTTTTATACGGCCACATGGAAATGTGGACTTATATTGCGGTCGCCCCTGCTCGTCCACAATTTCTTGTGAACGCTCTAACTCCAAACATTATTATCCGATTGTTTTAAAATTGATAAATGTGGTTTAAATTAGTGAAACGAAGAAGCCTATTGAATTTCAGCAATTTCCGTTTATTACGTCGAGTTATGGCCCTTGTTTCACTTTATTGAACCTTGTGAACGCCAAAAGTTAACATCCGATCTTTGTGAAATTTATATGCAATATTTAAATTAGGGAAACGAGGAAGCCTATTGAATTTCAGCAATTTCTGTTCATTACTTCTAGAGTTATGGCCCTTGTTTCACTTTTTTTAACCTTGTGAACGCTCTAACCCCAAAAGTTATCATCCTATCTTTCTGAAATTTATATGCATTATTTAAATTAGTGAAACGAAGAAGCTTATTGAACTTCAGAAATTTCTGTTTATTACGTCTAGAGTTATGGCCCTTGTTACACTTTGTTTAACCTTGTGAACGCTCTAACCCCAAAAGTTATCATCCTATCTTTTTGAAATTTATATGCATTATTTAAATTAGTGAAACGAAGAAGCTTATTGAATTTCAGAAATTTCTGTTTATTACGTCTAGAGTTATGGCCCTTGTTTCACTAAATTAAACTTTGTGAATGCTCTAACATCAAAAGTTATCTGTCGATCTGTATGAAATTTACATGCGTCATTTAAATTAGTAAAGAGAAGAATCCTATTGAATTTTAGCAATTTCCGTTTAATACTTCTAGAGTTATTGCCCTTGTTTCACTTTGTTCAAAATTGTTAACCCCTTAACTGTGTAATTAATTTGACATTAACTACCCCCTATTGCGTAATTAATTTGACGAAAAACCTCATTTTTGGGCCTATTTTTTCCTGAATACAAATTTGAGTGGTCTTAAACCATAATAAAACTAACAGTGAATAGAGTTGTCTCCCTTCAATTAGATTTCCTCGACCAGGCGTAATATAACGTCTTCGGCATGGTAAGATTGTGTTCGAAGAATAGGTTGGGGAAAATACCTCCAGGGCATTATATTACGTCCTACTCACGGTGAGTGGCAGTTGTCCAGGACGTTATATAACGTCCTACGCAGTTAAGGGGTTAATGCTCGATTAATGAAAGTTATCATCCGATATGTATGAAATTTATATGCATCATTTAAATTTGTGAAACGAAAAAGCCTCTCAAATTTCAACAATTTCTGTAGATTACTTCCAGAGTTCAGACCCTTGTTTCAATTTGTAGAACCTTGTGAACCCTCAAACGGCAAAAATTATAATCTGATCTGTATGGAACTGTCTTGTAAAGGCCCCCAATTACCTACAAAGGAATAAATATGCGACAACCCTTGTCGACTGCTCGGACGATTTAGCCGCTGTGGGCATATGTTTCGTTGCCTGGCAACCTATCTTTCTACTATTGTCAGTATCATAAAATGCTGCAGCCAAAATAAACTCATACAGAACCATGGCATTTCTTCATAACACAATCTGTAGTTTTTTGTCTATCACACAACTAGTCACATAACTTGCAAGTTTTTATTCATTCGTCGATGACAGACAAGCGGCACAATTGTCACATGACAATCATAATTGAAATTGCTTTAAAATAAAATTCCGTTTAATAAAAACGAAAATGTTTTTAAAATTGAGCCTTTGTCAGAATGTGTATATATACTCTTAAAAAAAAAGTAGGGGTTATTCACAAACAATACAAAACTGCGGAAATGCACTGCTGTTTTTATTACTATTAGAGGTAACCAGTGTATGTTAATAACAGGCCAATTGCCTACACATGAACATAAACAGTTCATATGGGCGGCTTATCTGACGGCCCCATTTCACTCGCAAAGAGATACACCGTCAAAAGTGAAAATGGACTTTTTTGATTTTTGTCAATTGCTCCACCAATCCTCAGACATTCAGCAATTCGTTGTGTCATGCTCCTAATCAACGTCCAATCACAATTTGGGGCAATCTGACCCACTCCTCTTGCAGTGCCACGGCCAATTCTTGCAGTGTTGTCGG